TAACAATCTTTCATTTGTAGGATTTGTAGACTTGCTCTTTTGTGTCATCCTTCCATTTTATTTTGCACATGTATCACTATTGCCCCTAAAGACCCCAAAGACGGATAGGCATTAGATGGGGAGCCTAGATTGGTCACCGGCTCGATTGATTTGGATCGTCGATCCAGGCCAAATCGGACCGATGCTTTGGTGTAAGAATCGGTGCAAAAAAGTTTTAAATAAAGAAAATAAAGATATATTTTTAGAGGGTCCACATATCTATAGGTGAGTCCGCTGACTCGCCAAATACTTTTTTAATTAAAAATAATAATAAATAAATTATGATGGAACAAAGCGATTTAGCTGATCCGGATCACCCATTCATTTGACAAAAACTAAGTACTTTTTATGAAAATCAAATAATTCTAACGAGGAAATAGGTCCATCCCCTATCAAGACAAAAATTTTATGATTCAATTTGAAAACAAGAAGATGCTCGCATTGGATTTTGACTTAGCAGGATGTTTCATTGTACTGTACCCGGTTTGCCAAAAATGGCCCCAGCGAGCCTACTCTCCACCATGACTGAGCTCAGAACGAGCATATAAAAAGGGTCTTTTTTGTTATGTTTGTTTTTTGGTGAATAAAGAAATACTATATAATAGCAATTTTTTTTTTTTCCTTCTGATGAGTCGGTGGGGAGAGGGCCCCTACCCTTTATAGGAACTGAGCCTAGGGTTTAGCGTTGCAAATCGTTAAGCGCTAACCAATTAAGCCTCGACTCTTTTTCTTTTTTTTCAAAAGGGATGCGATACAAGGACTTCTCAGGACGTCACCCATCCTAGTATTGAAGTGATTTTCTAGGTTGGGGAAAGGGCAAGTTTGGCTTCACTGATCAATTTCCATGTGATTATTAAAGGCATGATTGGTAGACATGAAAATACTTTCATATAAAAAAATTCTCTCATGTAATTAGGTGTGAGAGTTTTTTTACATCAATTAGTCCCATCGCATTTTTCTATACTAATTCATAACTATTTGATGTGAAAAAACTCTACACCTAATCATAAGGAGTTTTTTCACGGAAAAATACTTTTATAAAAAGTTTTCACACGTAGCAAATGTGCTCTAAATACAACCGACTGGAAACGAGTGCTTCTTTTTCGAAAGATTTATTGGATTTAGGAGATTATTTGCGGTGTTTTTCAAATAAGTGGGGTAAAGAAGAGGATGTAGAGAAACATCTTGGGAATAGTTATCACACTAGTGCATTACAAAAGTAGATTTAAATGTAAATAAGTGGGGTAAAGAGGATGTAGAGAAACATGTTGTGGAATAGTTATCACACTAGTGCATTACAAAAGTAGATTTAGACACATTTAATGGTTCTTTGGAAAAACCATTTTAAGTATACTTTTCATATAGCTCCGTTTCAAAAGACATACTAGATTTTGATATTATTTTAAAAAATATATTAAATATACACCATCTAACTAAAATAAATAGTACAAAATACTACAACTTTATTTTTATAAAATAAAGTTTGTCACTCCCGCATCCATAACTATTATACCAAATAGAGTATAAATTCTAGCTTCAGTTTGGGTGCCCTAAAGGTCTGTGATCATCATGTCTTCACTTCTCCACCTAAAACTGTCAACTTGTGAGAGTTGAATACAAGTAAATATTTAATGGGAATGGTTAGCATAAGGCTGCTACCATAAACAATCCAATTAAACTAAATGTTGTCATGAGATGCAGTTTGATATAAAAAATCTTTATAATGGTGTGAAAAATCTATTTCTATCTCTAATTATAAAATTTTAAACTAAAAAAATAGTTCAAATCAAATGGATATACAAATGCATGAAAATCGTAAAACTAGACGATCCAGATAATATTTTGCAAGATGTATTATTATTTTTAGGACTTGAAATCTCATTCTTTCTTCATATCTATAAATTTTGTTGTCGAGATGATCAATTAGATGTTTTTCCAGATGTCTATAAATTTTGATGTCGAGATGATCAATTCGATGTTTTTCCAGTATCAAAACAACTTTTTTTGAAAGATTTTAGAAGTGCACCATAATTCTACATTTTAAGGCGTCAACCTTGTATAAACCTTTTCCTTTCAATTTTCCTCCAACTTACAAAATGGTGACATTTTTATGAGTGAAGACACACGTAAACCAAGTTATAGAATGCACTACCCAAAAGATACCATTCCAAACATGAATGGCTACTCTCCTTTTAATCCAAATAAAGGTTTATTTTCCCTCAAAGCTTTAAAGCCATTTAATCCATAAGGAGGGAGACTAAAGTCATTTTTGTATTTTAAAAGTCACAACCTATAGAAACACATATTGGTGATGCCATATGTCACATGGGTGATAATTTATCATGTAATACATTCAAAAAATAATGCATCATGTAACATTTATGTGATAAAACTAGGTCACACCATACCGTACATCATTAATATATAGGAAAAGTTTGTTGATTAAAGTTTGGTTTTGTTAAAATGATGTCCCCTACCAAAAATCATGTTGGAGGTAGATTTTAGATCTGAAGTTTCACAGGTTGATAGTCTTTATCAAGAAAAAGGACAACACTGAAACTTTAAACTAAAATTATTTTGAATAATGAAAATGAACATTTAAAAAATAGTCCGAAAACAAAGTTTAAACCATATATACTTTTGAGGTTTAATATCTATTTTTCATTTTCAGGCTCATGATCTTGGTCGTCAAGATTATTGACTTATGAAATTTTCAATTTGAAATCCATCATGTCCATCTCTGTGATGGATTTTTGGAAGGAGACCCCACTTCAATAGGTATGCCTCTTTGCAATCTTGCTCAAAAACGATAGCAGAAATAATTAAATATGTTAATGTTTATAAATATATAATAATGTAATAAAGAAGATGATTTCGTAAGTTCCGACCAAAAAACCCGCAACCTCTCTTTGGCTCAATATTTCTCAATATTCATGCTCCTCTCTCTGTCTCTTTTAGGAAGGAGACTAAGTGTGCGTGTTTATTTAATAGCTTTATAGCAATTTTTAAACACCACGTTAAGGCCATTTGGTTGCTTCCAGTATTTAAAATTACATCTTTTCATTCTAATGAACAATCACAAAAAAGACCAAACTTGAAAGATGATGTGGAATTTGGAAAATTAAATCTGACCATCTTTTGATCGTAAAACCAATGAAATTAAGCAACTATGAAGAAAATAAGGTGGCTGTAAATCAAGCTATGTATAAGCTCTGTTTTCTTCAAGGATAAAAAAATCCTCTAAAAATAGCTCTCTATGAAAAAACCTATCCACGTTCACTCTTTATAATTGTATTCAATTTGTATATCTCCAATGAATTTGTCTCTAACCCATATGATGCTTTCCTATTTTTCGGTGAATTAATGAGGATTGGGGCCCTACCCTTTGGTGAGAATTAAGTTGGATGTTTCATCATAGGGCTTCATGGTAATAGTTTAAACCATATATACTTTTGAGAATTAAGTTGGATGTTTCATCGTAGGGCTCGAGCCCATTCTCACCCCTATAAAAAGAATGATAATGTGTCGTGGCCAAATTGAGAAATGAAGAACCTAATTCAAACATTGATGCACCATGATTATAGTTTGGGAGAAACTATGGAATGAAGTACACAAAACTAAAAAACCTATTGAATGAATCTTCTCAATGCAAGTGGTTTCTAATGTCTCAATGGGAGTCATTGTGATTCTAATTGAAGTTATGGTACCCGTACCACTTATATTCCTTATCTCTTTTTGGGTTGGAACTCAGTAAATTATGATAGACTTGCATTATTTTCTATGCAATGTAAAGTTATTTGGTATTTCTCGTGTTTCAGCGCATACATTTTTATCTTGTGGTAAAATTTAAAATGATCTTATACCAAATTAAAAATGACCTTGTGCCTAAAGTAAATGACCTTATTATGTATTTACGTTGTCTACTGCTGGATGCCTAGGGCAACTAAATATTAGCTGGATAGGGGAAGGGGAACAAGTAGCAAATAATAAGATGGGGATATTTTTGCTTAATACAAATAGATATGAAACTTCTAAATATATTACTAACAACTTAAACACGAAGATACAATTTAAGAGGTCAAAACCCTTTATAAAATCATTGAGGGGTCAGAAGATATCGTTTATCAACATTAAAGGGTTTATTTTTTAATTTTTGTTTCACTCTATTGCTTAGATAAATATCTTCCAAAATGAACAAATTGCTTTTGTTTAAGATTGGAAACTTGAACAAACATGGGTATTTTAATAATTTGAGCCACCCTAAACGGGCAAGAGTAATCATATAATTTGGTTGTGGCATCTTAAGCAAGTCAAATTACCAAAGTATTTTTAAAAATATTTTTGAAGAAGGAACTTGAGTGAAATAAAAACTAATGTAAAGCCCAGTGTGAATTGGGATGTTTCGACCTCTTGATTATTTTACAAGCGAGTTTGACCCCTTAAATAATATTTTCGCAAATTAAATTCATGATGCGGCACACCACATAACACAAATGTTGATAAGGGGACAGACAACAACCCTTAAATAATATTTTCACAAAATAAATTCATGATACGGTACACCACATAACACAAATGTTGATAAGGAGACAGGCAACAACCAAGAACTAACTGGAAGAGAGTCATGATACGAAACATAACACAAATGTTGATAAGGGGGCAGGCAACAACCAAGAAATAACTGCAAGAGAGGTCTACACAATGTTAACCAGATACTGATCGATTTTTACAGTAATTAAAGCATTAGTGAACGTTTGTAAGATCAAGAAACAATAGTGTAACCGGTTTTTAATAGAGAGAGAGAGAGAGAGGAGGTTTCAATTTAACTTTTAAATCTGACTTCCATAGAAAAACTGAAATAATGGGGGTGATATAAATAAGCTACATCAACCTGTACATCATACCGCAAGGAAGCCCTGATACTCAAAGCCAAACACATAAATGATACAAAAACAAATAAATGGTGAGGAAAGGCTTGATTCACTAGCTTCACTCCAAAGTTGAGAAATAATTTGAACTCATTACGCCAGCCATATTACAGTTTCTAGAGTATGCGTTCATGTATGAAATAAGATGAGTAAGATTGAGCCCCAAAGAGTACGGTAAATAAATCTTTTTACATGATTAAAAGGCAAATAACAAAGAGAAAGTAGATTACTAAATTCTCGAAGCAATCATGGGGATTGAGTTTTGCAGGTAAGCACTGGCTGCTGCCACTCCACTCCCTAGCTTCACAGGGTAACCCACATCCTTGAGAATCATCTCCACCCCACTCAGGCATCCCAGCAATTGTAACTGCAAAACAATGCAACAATTATATAAATTTCTCTGTCACACACACACACATGCACACACACACAGTCACTCCGCACACACAAATTATATAAATTTCTCTGTCACACATGCACACACACACAGTCACTGCACACACACAAGTTTTTAAGTTCATAAGAGGGGGTGTAACAAATGGAGAAAAAGATGATACAGGTTTATCATACCATAGGCCAGAGGGCCCCTGTTGAATCTCACAGGTAGCCGGCATTGAGTGTTAGTATATGTTTTGAATTTTACATTTGAGTGTTAGTAAATGTTTTGAATTTTATTCAAGTCTAATAAACCAGGTAGTGCCTCATCTAGGCACTCCAAAGAAAAATAAAAATAAAACGTAAAAAACGAAAAATGGGCTGAAATGTGTCCACTTTGTTGGTAATGCTGGCTACCAATAAAATCTTTATCCAACGAATGGATGGTTAGGGATGGGACTTGCATGAATGTGATCTTGATCCAACATGAACTTATCCCAAAGAAGAAAAAGATGTGCTCAAAGTAGAGCTAAATTATCCAGAGATATGTTCCCACCATTTCTTCCAATAGCCATACTCCTCTCTTAATTCTTTAATGATGACTAAGGTTGAAACTTTCATTAAATCAATAGATCATTCTTCAAAAAGTATCATCATTGTTCTATTGAAAATTTAAACCACTAAAATAGATAAGAGAGTACCCTTAGATATGAGAGAGAGAGAGAGAGAGAGAGATTATATACCTCATTAAGGTTGCCAAGATGCCCTATTCTGAACACTTTTCCTGCCACTTTGTTCAAGCCCAGTCCCAAGCTTAGGTTGTATCTATTCCAAGCCCTCCTCACAATCTCTGAGCTATCAATATTTGCTGGAATCACCACAGCTGTGACTGTGTCACTAAACCACTCCTCCTTTTGGGTGCAATTCTTCAAACCCCATGCTTCAACAGCAAGCCTGTATGGTAAACAATAGCTAAATTTAATTGAAACATGGGAAGGTAAGCTGGTTGTATTTGAACGAAATCCATAAATTATGAGGAGCCAATAGGAAAGTTAAGAAAAGAGAAACCCAACTTCTAAAAGAAGACATGGTATGCTGGTGCCTTTCCATATTCCCATGAACATAGGCAGTCACTAAAGGAAGAAATAGACAAAACCAATTGAAAAAGGGTACGTTTACTATTTTCAAATAGTTTTTCTTTAAAAGTGGCTTCCCCATTTCCACACACACATGTAGATGATCCTAAACTACTGTCATCAAAACTAGACCGGCCAATGAATCATTGAGAGGTATGATCCAATCAAAACTAATTTGACCTTCAGTTAAAAAAATAAAGAAAATTATGAAGAATAGGTAAAAATATGAAATATATTAACAAAAAATTGACCGACCTTGTTTACTAGTCTAACCAAAAAGCATGTCATTTCAATTGGCCACAATGTTTGACTGGTTTTCGATTGTTTTAACTTTGGACTGGACTAAACAAGGCACCTGTTGAATTGTTTGGTCCGGCATTGATAACATTAATCCCAAGAGATTACAGAAGTGGATTAATGAGATGTAGATAGAGAGAGTAGTAGTATTAGTGGTAATGCAATAGTAGTAGTTGTAGCAGCAGTACCTAGTTGCTTTTCCAAGTCGGCTGTGCCTTGCAATGACATTGTCAAGTCCCTCCTCAAAGATGAGATCAAGAGCAGCTCTAAGTCCATAGAGGAGTTGGATAGAGGGTGTGTATGGCCAATAGGTCCCCATCTTATAAAACCTCAAATAATCATTCCAATCAAAGAAAACCCTCACAGATTTAGCAGACTTGGAAGCCTCTAATGCCTTCGGACTAGCACACACAAGACCGATGCCAGTGGGCAGGGAGAGTGCCTTTTGCGAGCCAGTAAGGGCCACGTCGATCCCCCACTCGTCCATGCGAAAGTCCAAAGCACAAATGGAAGAAACTCCATCCACAAGCAGCAATGCAGGGTGCCTGAGATCATCTGAGGAGAGATTCCACAAAAAATAGATGATAAACTGATTGTTAGAACCCTCACATATATATATATATATATATATATATATATATATATAGAGAGAGAGAGAGAGAGAGAGAGAGAGAGAGAGAGAGAGAGAGAGAGAGAGAGAGAGAGAGAGAGAGAGTATAGTAACTAAATAAGTAAGTAATATATACTACTAGTACTATACGTACGTACGTACGTAGTAGTACGTAGTTACGTTATAGT